AGCGTGGCTCAACGCTCAGCAGTGGTTCTCAACCTTCTGGCCCTTTAAATACAGTTCCTCATGTTGTGACCCAACCATAAAATTATTTTCGTTGCTACTTCATAACTGTAATATTGCTACTGTTATGAATCGTAATGTAAATATCTGATATGCAGGATGGTCTTTGGCGTTCGACCGCCAAAGGGGTCGCGACCCACAGGTTGAGAACCACTGGTTTAGAGGCTCGGCTCGCAGACTGAAGGGTCATAGGTTCAATTCTTGTCAGGGGCATGTACCTCGGTTGTAGGCTCAATCCTCGGCCCTGGTTGGGGCGTGTGTGGGAGGCAGCCAGTCGATGTGTCCCTCTCACAGTGATGTTTTCTCTCTCTCTTTGTTTCTCTCCCTCCCTTCTACTCTGTCTAAATCAATGAAAAAAATATCATTGGGCGAGGATTAACCAAAAAATCCCACAGAGGTGGGGCAAAAGTAGGTAACAAAGTTTATTCTTATATTATCTCATAATTATTATATTATTTGCCACATAAACAACTGTAAACTTACTTTTGCCCCATGCTGTATATAACAGTAGACTTAAAGGTAGACATTTAATAAAAAGGAATTTAAGGTTACTTTTAAAACTATTTCTGCCTCTTAATTGTGGTTCCTCTTTTGTTTATTAACCATTTCTTAATTTTCATCATTCTGTGGAAGTGGCCGTTCTTCAAGGAGTTGAGTGCCTTACTTGAGAAATGCCACTCCCCGTGGTTCAGACACGGTGCATTTGGAGGTTACGTCGTCCTCAGTCATTCGTTGACATGCACGTTTCGGTGCCTGTTGTGGAGGGACCGTGGGGCGGGCTCAGCAGGCTGTGCCGTAACCAGACGCTGTGTGTCAGGCCGCCGTGCCTGCTGTGCTGTGTGAGCACTGGCTCGCAGTCCAGCCCTGGTTACAGGCTGCGCTTCGTGGGCAGGTGTTCGAAGGAAGGTGTGTAATTAGATATTACAGGTAAGTAAATACCTATGTGTGATGCTGGGTATTTTGTAGGAAATTGTAGCAAATAAAGTCATGTGAGAGAATAACAAAAGGAATGTTATGAATAACGGCATTTGATATTGTGCTGCTGGCTGTACCCTCACTGAACTGAAAGACCAATGTATTCCGTAGTGATGTAACCTTTGACGGTTTTCAAAATGCTAGCTGAAATGGTGGTTTTATCCAGGCCGAGTGGCTCGGTTTGTTGGCGCATCGTCCCAAACTCCAAAAGGTCACGGGTTCGAGTCCCAAGTCAGGGCACATAGCTAGGTTGTGGTTTGGTCCCCAATTGGGGTGCATACAGGAGGTCATCGATGTTTCTCTCTAAAATCAATAAAATGGTGGTTTTCTATTTATTTCAAATTAGTGAAGATGCCGAGTTGCTGTGGCGTCTGGCGCGGGCATCCCGGGACCTAGCTCAGCTTAGCGGAACCTCAGCGGAGGAGAAAAAGGCCCTGGTGTACGAGGCGCTGGAGTACGCGAAGCGGGCTCTGGAGAAGAACGAAGCGAGCTTTGCGGCCCACAAGGTGAGGCGCCTGAGGTCGCAGCGGTGGCCTCGTCCCGGGCTGCTGTCTGCTTCCCGTTGTCCCGGATTCACACGGTAGGAGAGGGGCTAGCGACGAGCTTTTCCTTCCATTCTCGAGCACCTCCTCCGTGAGTGCCTGGTGAGTCACGCCGGGCGTGTGCACTGTGGACGCCGTGGGAGCAGATCCACGGGTTCCCTGGATCTCAGCTCCCAGGAGTGCAGCACCTGACAGACGTTTTCTCATTTCCTCACACTCTGTTCTGTCTGGGTCGCTTTCACATGTGACTCCGCAAGCTCTGCATTTCCTGCCTGGCCCAGCACAGAGGCTCCCAGTGGACCCTGGGAGCAAAGGCGTTTGGGCGTTGTGGATGAGGACGTCACTTGATCATGTGGGGCTGCCACTTGATCATGTGGGGCTGCCCCAGCGGAGTCGCAGGCCGTTGTGACACATTTCCCAGTGCTTCCTTTTGGGGCTCCCCCAAAACACACACACACACACACACACACACTGGTTTACTAGTATATTCAGGATAAAACAGATAGAAATACTTAAAACAGATAGAAATACTTTAAATTTGTCGAGACTTCTTTTGTGGCCCAGAACCAGTCCATCCATGTTACAAATAAGACATATTCCGTACAACCTCTTCTTTATCCATTTCTGTCTATTGATGGACACCTAGGTTGCTTCTATATCTCTTCTAGGTTGCTTCTATATCTCTTTTTTTTAATATACATATTTTTTATTGATTTCCTAGAGAGGAAGGGAGAGGGAGAGATAGAAACATCAATGATAAGAGAGAATCACTGATTGACTGCCTCCTGACACTCCCCACCGGGGACTGAGCCTACAACCTGGGCATGTGCTCTGACCAGGAATCAAACCATGACCTCCTGGTTCATAGGTCAACACTCAACCACTGAGCCACACCGGTCAGGCTTCCTATCTTTTTGATGCTACTGTAATTGGAATTCTTTTCTGAATTTCATTTTCGTATTGTTCATTGCTAGTTGAGGAATGCAGTTGGTTTTTGTGTATTGATTTTATATCCTGTAGCTTTGCTAAATTTATTTATTGTAGATTCTTTAGGGGTTTAGTATAGGATCATGTCATCTATAAAGAGAGATAGTTGTGCTCTTTCTTTTCGTTTCTCAATCTTGCCCGGTTTCCCTAGCTAGAGCTCCCAGCACAGTGTGGAGGGGGGGCAATTCTTGTCTTGTTTCTGACTGTGGAAAGCTAGGAGGCTCACCTTGTTTCTCAGGTGTCTCTGTTGCCTACTGCGTGGTATCTTGAGAGTCATTATTTCTTATATTTTGTCTGTTTTTGTTTTTTTACTATTTCAGGCAAGAAGGTAAGTCTATTACCCCTTCTTGGCTAGAATATCCATTTAAAAGTTTTCTTTCTTTTTTAAATAATGTAAACTCAGTATCGACAATAGACATTTTGGAAATTTAGAAAAGAATACAGCCCGGCCGGTGTTGCTCAGTGGTTAAGTGTCGGCCTATGAACCAGGAGGTCATGGTTCGATTCCCAGTCAGGGCACATGCCCAGGTTGCGGGCTCAATCCCCAGTAGGGGGCATGCAGGGGCAGCTGCTCAATGACTCTCTCCTCATCATTGGTGTTCTAGCTCTCCCTTCCTCTCTGAAACCAATAAAAAATTTTTAAGAAAAAAGTACAAATATAGAAGTAAAATCGCCATGATCACACCTCCTGCCATCAGCTCTTGCTAATTGATAATTCACTGTGAGTCACAAGATGCAGCCTCACCAGGGAGGAGGTTTGCTGTGCGTGTAGGTGACAGTGGGTGCCTTAGAGAAGGGGGTTGTATTCCGAGCCCTGAGACCTGGGAATAGGTCAGAACAGCAGGTGAGATCCCACATGATCCTCCAGTCACCTGATTCGAGTCTGTCTATTGTGTGTAGAGGGGTGTGTGTGTGTGTTTTAAACAATACTTTTTTATTCTTAATAAGCATTGAAAAATACAAAATTGCCGGTGTTCTTGTTCCAGCATTAAGAAGGGTTCAGGAAATCTGGAGAAGGCTGTGCGTAGATGAAATAGGAGTCCAGAGATGAAGCATAATTTTGAAAGGCATGTGGGGGTCAGAGGAACCTAGTTTAAAGGAAACTAAGATCTCCTCATCTCAGGAACCCATGCTTTTAACACAAATTGTCCTGAGGCAAGGCAGAAATATACACTTCAAAGGGTCAGGGTTTCATATACAGAGGCATTGTCAGAATGGGGAGAATTAGCCTATGGCTGTTCAGGTGTTTGGCCAGTAGGAGGCAATAACATGTAGATTAAAATGCCTTGAGCGAACCAAGGAACAGCAGCCTCCTGATCACCACAACCTCTGTCTGAGGAACAGCAGTTGTGTGTGAAGCCTCCCCCCACCAGCCAGAGGAGCCAACACAACTGTGAACAGCACCCACCAGAGGAGCGTCTACCAACTGAGGAGCAGCTGCTACCACAACCGCCCGAGGAGCAACCACAGCCCGAGGAGCCACTGCCACCCAAGGAGCAGCCACTGAACGACTCAACATCTAGATATGGCGGTACGATCAAACATGGGTAGACAAAGAAACCCCCAAAGGAAAGAAAAGGAGGACTCGCCAGAAAAGCAGCTAAGTGATACAGAGGCATGCAACATGACAGAAAGAAAAAGAATTCGGATTAAGGGTCCTAGAGTGCATAAACCGGATGGAGGAAAAAATCAACAACTTATGCAAGAAGCAAGAAGAAACAGATGAAAAAATCAATAAATTATGTAAGAACCAAGAAGAAATGAAGAGTGATATAGCGCAATAAAAAACACCATTGAAAGTTTCAACAGTGGACTAGGAGAAGCGGAGGACCAAATTAGCGAATTAGAAGACAGGGAAACATAACACACCCAAACTGAACAGCAATTGGAGAAAAAAATTAAAAGACAGGAGGAGAGCCTAAGGGAGCTATGGGACAACATGAAACAAAACAACATACGAATAATAGGGGTGCCAGAACAACAGAAAGAGGAACAAGGGTTAGAAAATCTATTTGAAGAAATAATATCAGAAAACTTCCCAGAGGTGGGGAAGAAAAAATCACACAAGCACAGAGAATCCCAAACAAGGTGAACCCGAAAAGACCCACACCAAGACACATCATAATTACCATGGCAAATGTTCAGGACAAAGAGAGAAACTTTGACATAGAGACCAAAAAAACAATACATAAAATCAATGAAACCAAGAGCTGGTTCTTTGAAAGGATAAACAAGATTGATGAACCTCTAGCCAGGCTCACCAAGAAGCAAAGAGAGAGGAACCAAATAAACAAAATCAGAAATGATAGAGGCGAAATAACAGACCCCACAGAAATACAAATGATTGTTAAACAACTCTACTCAACTCTACTCCAACAGATTAGACAACCTGGAGGAAATGGACATATTCCTAGAAAAATACAACATTCCAAAACTCAATCAGGAAGAATCTAAAAATCTCAACAGGCCAATAACCATTTGAAGCAGTCATCAAAAAGCTCCCAGCAAACAAAAGCCCAGGACCAGACGGCTTCACAGGGGAGTTTTACCAAACATTCAAGGAAGAACTAAAACCTATCCTCCTCAGACTACTACAAAAAATCCAAGAGGAAGGAACACTTCCAAGCTCATTCTATGAAGCCAGCATCACCCTAATACCAAAACCAGGTAAAGACAACACAATGACAGAGAATTACAGGCCAATATCCCTCATGAACATAGATGCCAAAATCCTCAACAAAATCTTAGCAAATGGGATCCAGCAGTACATCAGAAAGATCATACACCGTGACCACGTAGGATTTATCCCAGGGATGCAAGGATGGTACAATATCCGAAAATCAATAAACATTATACATCACATAAACAAATTGAAAGAAAAAAACCACATAGTCATATCAATTGATGCAGAAAAAACATTTGACAAAATCCAACACCCATTTTTGATAAAAACTCTCAGCAAGGTGGGAATAGAAGGATCATACCTCAACATAATAAAAGCCATATATGACAAACCCACAGCCAATATCATACTCAATGGACGAAAACTAACACCATTTCCCCTAAGAACAGGAACAAGACAGGGATGCCCACTCTCACCACTCCTGTTTGACATAGTACTGGAAGTATTAGCCATTGCAATTAGACAAGAAGAAGAAATAAAAGGCATCCAAATTGGAAAAGAAGAAGTAAAACTGTCATTATTTGCAGATGACATGATTTTATACATAAAAAACCCTAAAGACTCCATCAAAAAACTACTAGACTTAATAAATGAATTCGGCAATGTAGCAGGATACAAAATTAACGCCAAGAAATCTATGGCATTTCTATACACCAATAGTGAACTTACAGAAAGAGAGACTAAAAAAACAATCCCATTTACCATCGCACCAAAAAAATTAAGCTACCTAGGAATAAACTTAACTAAGGAGGTAAAAGACCTCTACTCAGAAAACTACAGGATATTGAAAAAAGAGATAGAGGAAGACATAAACAGATGGAAGAACATACCATGTTCTTGGATTGGTAGAATCAACATCATTAAAATGTCCATACTACCCAAAGCAATCTATAAATTCAACGCACTTCCCATTAAAATACCAACGGCATACTTCACATTTCTAGAACGAACTCTCCAAAAACTCATCTGGAATAAAAAAAGACCCCGAATAGCTGCAGCAATCCTGAGAAAGAAGAAAGTAGGTGGGATCTCAATACCAGATATCAAGCTGTATTACAAAGCCACTGTTCTCAAAACTGCCTGGTATTGGCACAAGAACAGACATATAGATCAATGGAATAGAATAGAGAGCCAGAAATCGGCCCGAACCAATATGCTCAATTAATATTTGACAAAGGAGGCAAGAACATACAATGGAGTCAAGATAGTCTCTTCAATAAATGGTGTTGGGAAAATTGGACGGATACATGCACGAAAATGAAACTAGACCACCAACTTACACCATACACAAAAA